GGAGACGGATACAAGCAGTTGGTCTTGTTCAAGAATATAAAAACAACGAATCCAACATATGGCTCAGACAATTATTATTTGGTAATTTCTAGATCCTTACGAAGTTGAACTATGTTTTGAAACTGACTTTAAAAATGACCAACCCAAGGATGCACGAATTAAAAAAAAATTATCACTTACTCAGACAAAACATACATAAAATAGGATACAACATTTCCACCCAATATTTGGGTCAAAAAAGAAGCAACACTGGAAAGAATAACTAACAACTGTGAGTCTTTTCATGCCAAATTTGGTAATTTATTTACTTCAGCACATCAAAATATTGCAGTTTTCCCTAAAAATGTATTAGCCATGCAGACAGGTTCTTATATACAAATGAATTCTGCCAATAATAATGAAAGTAGGATAATTAGAAGACAACAAAAAAACAATATAAAATGTATAAATAAAAAAATTGAATTGTAAAACGACATACAAATTGATAGGTATAATTTTGTAAAGTTAAGGTGATATATTATAAAATGGCGACGATCCATGCGGAGTTACTCAGTTACGGTGCACCGAAATTAATAGCTATACTTGTAGGTATAAACTGTTTTCCCAAGTATGACCTTAGATCAATAGTCGGGGAAATAAAATAAGATAAAGGTAAATATGAGAAAATATCAATTACGACCATGATTGACCATTGATTATTTCAGTCGCGTTAAAAGTGCGTTCGTGTGTTCTCAATTCGTAATTCGAGTTTTTATTGTTATTTATTTTATTTTTTTCAAAATGCCCAAAGATATATCGTCTTTATTGAGTCTTCTTCGTAATTGTGTTCGTGAATTGGGGGAGAATATTTTTTCAATCGATGGTCAAATCATACTGTGCAAATTATGTGAAGTGAAAGTTTCCCCCGATAAACGGTGTTAAATTACACAACATATGAAAACCAAAAAACATTTAAAATCTGTGAATTTACTACAAAATAAACAACGCAATTTTTAGAGTTCATTCACTAATACTGCCCTCCTAAGCCAAAAGGCAGTAAGCGACAAAATTTGAAAAATGAGTTTATCATATCAAAGTATTCGTTATTTTAATTCGAATTTTTTGTTTCCTTTCCAAAAATACCGTAAATGCAACAGATTGTATTAGTAACGGTTTCGGTTGTCGGTCGGTTGCTGTGTGTCAACGGAACTCGCGGGGACGTGCGTGGTGTCCGTGTATTCCGGGTCGTTGAGAACTAGTCACTTGGACAAGTCGGTTCGCCGGCGTCGTCCGTCGTCGATTAGCGGTTTGTTTGAGAAGCCACAGCGCGGCTTCCGCGTAAAGGCTGTTCGAATTCAAACTGCCATTACGCGGGACCGCGTCATCCTTTGAATCGTGAAAGGATTAGAAGAACCACTATTCCAAATTTCAAGTTCGTAGGTTGAGTAGTTTTTGAGATACAGCGATCAGTGAGACTGTGGTATTTGTATTTTAGGTATATAATATATAGATTTCCTTCTCCCTCCCCTCGGGACAAAAATAATGAAAAATATTAAATAGTGTAGTCACAAAATTGGAACATAAAAACGGCCTTCTTTTATATACCATATTAGATTAGATTAGCTTTGTTTTTTAATTTTTCAAGAACTGTATACTTGTTTTTTATTAACAAAAGTTTTACTAAAACCTTCAGCAGACTATCAGGTATAACTTTCAGCCCAATTGGTCCAGTAGTTTTCTGGGTTGGCTCGTACGTAGAAAACCCCTTACAATTTTAAATAGGTGAGTGTTCTATTAGTAGGTACTTACTGCTTACCTATTAAACATGATTTTTGTTGCAATTTCTCTTCAGATATTCAAAGCACAAAAATATATTTCATAGCCATTGTTAAAACATTTTGGAGTTCTTCATCTTGTTTTATTTAATTTTTTTTAAAGCTTAAAAAATCCTTTCTTAATTATTATTTATGACATTTCACCATGAAATATACTCTTCTGCACCCAATAATGTGAACTTTGAATGTTACCTGGGAAGTTATGTTAGTTCTTCGTACAATTAATAGAAAATTTCAAATTGTATATTATGTAATTTATAAATATTGTAATATGCATAATATTTGTTATTTAATTAAATTGTATTCTAGTCAGTTAAATAATTACAAGACAATAAGGTACCTAATATGTTTTGATAGTGTTGTGTAAATATTAGAATTATTTTATATAAGGACATAATGTGTAGGTATATGAATAAACTCATGTAAAATGAACTGTTATTAAATGAATATTTTACGTTAAATTTGTTGTTAAATAATTGCTTTAACTAGATTGTAATTTGTGTTTAAGTAAATTTTAACCCACTACATTCAACACAAGCTTTATACAAAGAACGTAGATAATAAATTGTATATTTGAATATATTAAAAAACAAATAGTAGTAATCAATAAATTATATCTATAATAATGTCTGAAAAAAAAAAAACATTTACAATTCTTGAATAATATAAATTGTCCATTAAAAACGGATGTGATCGATTTGAATTCAATGGTAAAGCATTGTATATGAAAAATGGTTGTGAGGGCATAATAGCATACCTGTTTAAATAGTCAAATTTAATAATTAATAAAAATCAAAAATATATATCATACCTATAAATATCGTTACATTCCGATAAATATTTTTATTGTTATAGATAGAAAAACTTATGAGAAATCTTCTATTACATTTTCAAAAAACAATAACTACTAGGTATCATAAAAAAAATGTATTCGTGTACTTAAGCAAATTTTTTTTTTATAACTGTTTCAACATCTTATTTGGGACGTTGTATTAGATTTATTAATTATTTAATCAAGCGACAAATTATTTATCAACCACAATTAAAAAAAATTCATTAAAATATATAAACCTGGTGTCAATAATAATTTATTTGTCTACTTACCCATTGTTGAGTGAAAACAAAATGTGTTAAAGTAAAACGTGCTGTGTTGGAGTGTCGCCTATCGATAGTCGCTGAATTTACGAATGCGGCCTGTAGGTTGTACGGCGAATAAAGTAGAAGATACTGGATAGAGTATTATTGTTATTTTTTTTGTATAAACTGTTAGTAATTAATGTGTATAATAAAGTGGTCATTACTTATTTGGCTGTATATTAAATTGTTTCAAATCTTAGTGTTTGACAAAATTTTACCAAAATGTCATCGGTAAAAAATAATAATTGCCTATATTGTTATGTGTATAATTAAATAGAGTAAGAAAATTTGGAGCCGATTTATTTTGATATTGTGTGATTAGATTTAGTGTTAAATATTTTAAAATTGCAGCGTTTATTTTAAACGGCAAGTTGAACGAGAACGATGGATTATTATTATTGTAATTTATAGACCGTTTAAGTATTTGTCCTAACCTATCTGATTTAAGGTAGCAGCAAGACGTCATACCGAAAAAAAAACTAAAAAAATTAAAAACTGACAATGCCCGTAAACAGTTCAAAAAGAGTCAAATTATTTTAAAAATTGTATGGTGTATAGAAAATGCTAATATAAACATTCAGTGACATTTTCATGTATCTAAAGTCATTCATTTTTGAATAACAATAAAATAACAAAATCGAATTATGAGAAATCGAGTGAATATCCAATATCTTAAAAATATGAACTTACTGTCTTTAAAAAAAATTGCTCAAACTGTTTTCTAATCCACATCGATTTGATTTTCCAAAATACATAGAATGTATTTAAAGTACCACCTGTACCACAATTATATCTTTAGTGTTAGGCTGTAAGTCTATTTATTGGGTCACAAATATTTTTTTTATTTCCTAAATTGGCACAAACCTAAAAAGAAAAAAAACAATAATATTCTAATCCACTAGTGTATGGGTTTTTCTGGCTAACCAAATGTTTTAAGATTAAAGATCATAGAGATAAAAATAATTATGTGGACAGTTTTGATCAGATTCGTAAAACAAATATATAGCTGGGATTACATTTTAACCCCCAACTTTGAAAGTTGGGTTACTTTAGAAATGGTTGAGTTCAACAACGGAGTTAAAAGCACGTACCAGCACAAACGAATTACAAACAAATTTTGTTCATTTTGTTTCGAAATTCCAAAGTGGGAGGGAAGGGGACACGAAGCTTAAAAAAAAAACTATGAAAAAAAATTCTTATAATTTTATATTTTTAATACAATGCCCAATACTCATATGTAAACGTTGATTGTTATTATTTTTATTATTCAAGGAAAAGATTCCAATTTGCAATATGCTTACCTAGATTGTTATTAATTTATTTTATGCATAATTGGTTTTTATAACTATTAACTTATGTACTTCTTTGTTAATACGAGTAGTTAATAAATAATTAAAATTAAGCGTTACTACAAAATAATAAAATAATATGTTTTACTAAATCAATTGATTGCAAAAAAAAATTTGTTTTTAAAAAATGTGTTAAAATGTTTTGACCTAGTCATCTTGTTTTAAATAAAAAAAAAATGTTTTTAATTTGTTTATGTTTGTGTATTTTGTTTAGTTATTATGTATTTTTGTTCCTTTCATACTATAATAATTATATTTATTTACTTCAAAAGTTCCCTACCTTATGGCTAATTACACAACCATATCTAGAAAGATTTATTATCTACAGTGGATAGATGTTTAGGTACTGTATAAAAGTATAAGAAAATACCTACTTAATATATATCCAAAGGGTAAAGAATATTTAAAAAAATATATCACTGGAGTGAACTAGATTAAAATATCCATATGATGTTCATTCTCGATAATACTGAGAAGTTACTATTTTATTATCTTTGTGATTAACCTATTTGAGTACTATGCAAAGTATATTTAACAGTGTTATACATCGCAACCAGAAGTCGCTATAATTTAATATGAATTGATAGTAAATACAATCAATGGGACGAAAAAAATTACAGGAACATTACTATCATTGTATATACAAAAAAATATATATATACATTGAAAAAAATACCGATAACTGATACATACATATCTATTAGTCTAAATAATTAACAATTTTATACGGGTGTATCCGATATAGGACAAGTTTTAATATTTTATCATTATGAGAATCATTGAACATACATTTTTTTTTTTTGACACTTTTTTCTCCTTTCCTTTTCAGCCATAATGGGTACATATCTGATTGGGTACGTTTTATAAATACATCCATATTTATTTTGATTGGATCTCCGAAGCATCGGCAAAATTTCGTTTTTTTTCCATACTCCACCCAACGTGGTGTTGAGAAGTTTATTGCCTCTGCAATGTTATATCCCTGGTTAAAACCGGCATGGTAGCCATACGGGAATGTAACCACGAATTCCCCTGGTTCTTGAGTGATCTGGAACAAACAAAATATTGATCTTAAAAAATTAATAAAGTTTAGACATTTAAATTAGGTAGTAATTATTTAGTATTTACTGTGTTGAATGGTATTGAATGCTTTTTTAAAATTTCAGGGGCTAAAACAATCGTTTTGTGCCGAAGATATGCAGGGCAACTTGATGTTTCGGTTGGGTATATCTGATCAATCAATTTTTCAAATTGTTGTCCATATTGTGGAGGTATTGCATACCTTATATATAATTAAATTAAAAAATATTGTATAATTACAAAGGTGTAATAATAAAATAAAATAATAATCTTACCATGTCTTTGGATATCCAACATGCACGTAGTTAAGACTGTATAAATCCATGTCTTCAGTATGCCACGCGAATGTGGATTTCCACATTCCGAAATATAAATAAGGTGTATTCACACCTTCGATGGTCATATCATTCATAACGTCCAGTATCGTGTCCAGCCTATTCATATTCCAAGCCTTCATTAAAATAAAAAAAATAAATATTCATTATTTTGAGATAAAATTAAATATAATTTATAGATGTATACATTTAACTCATACTTTCACATCTTTGTCAGTAAGTGACCCAGTTACATCGGCCCCATATATTGGAGTGTGGCAAACAATGTTCTCCCAATATATTCTTTCCAGGTCTTTATAGTCAGTATGTTCTGGAGTTTTGTATTCTTCTGACTCTGCCAGGTTTTTAAATTTCCTGACTGTCATGGTTTTCTTTTGTCGTCTAAATTGTTGATATATTCCTTCATCGCCCTGAACATTCTAAATAAATATAATTATTATTATACATAGTTTATTAAAATCTAAGTACTTAAACCTATTACTTGGTATATTGGATTTGGAATTTTCAAACTCATTATATCATCTTCATCGTAGCTCTTTCTTCGGGGTGTCCATTCGGATGGTGGGATAATCTACAAAATTAATAATATACATTTTTAAAATAAAATTTTGAATTGGTTAGTAAAATCTAAAATTTTTATAAATAAATTTTTACTTTCGCAACACCAGCCTTATGAGCTCCTTCTGATTCCATTAGCTCAATATACCTAGTAAAATGTTTAAATTCACTCAACGATGGTCTGAAAACCATGATTTTAGGACTATTAGAACACATTGTTTCTAAAACAATAAATAAATCATTATTAAAATTAATATGTTTTAAGTACCAATAATTTATCGATTATATTATAATAACTAGAAGACCCGTCACAGCTTCACCAGTGATTGGTTATTTATTTTACCTTGGGACGATGATATGTATAATTTTTTATTTAAATTTTATCGTTGAAAGTGATCGGCAAGTAAATATAAAAAACAGTTAATGAAAATGTATTGAAATGTTTCTAGCGGTATAAATGGTCAGTATATTTTTATAGCAGAACCCGTGCACTTCATTATCCGTAAAAAATGGCAAATCATAAAATAATTATGATTTTTAAAATACTTTTGGGTGTAACTTACTGCAGCCTGAAGTAAGTGCAAATCAGTAACCCTAGTAAGACAATGGACCGCTCTTTCTCCAATCACGTTGGTAGGCAATGTTCAATAATTCGATTTGATGCAAACTTTTACCTGATCTGCTCAATTAACCAATTGAAACTGATAATTAATAAACACTAATTTCTACTGTTGACTGTAACCAATGGGAACTATTAATAATGAAAAAAAAAATTTTTAATGTGAACCTCAATGACCCTGTTTGAGCACCTATTTAAAATGCGAATTTTGGAAAATCCTTTGAATCGTGAAAGGATTAGAAGAACCACCATTCCAAATTTCAAGTTCGTAGGTTGAGTAGTTTTTGAGATACAGCGATCAGTGAGTCTGTGGTATTAGGATTTTAGGTACATAATATATAGATTTCCTTATCCCTACCCTCTGGAAAAAAATAATGAAAAATTTTTCGACGCTCAGGGAGGTATTTAGAACAACTCAGTGAAAAAAAAATGGAAAAATATTAAATAGTGTAGTTACAAAATTGGAACAAAAAAGCGGTCTTCTTTTATATATTATATACAGAATAGATTGGCTTTGTTTTTTAATTTTTCAAGAACTTTATAATTGTTTTTATTAACGAAAGTTTTACTAAAACTTTCAGCAGACTATCAGGTATAACCGTAAAAAATTTCAGCCAAATCGGTCCAGTAGTTTTCTTGGTTGGCTCGGTCGTGTAATGTTAATCAAGCCGTATTTATTTATTAGAACTTTAAATGCTTATAAACAAAAACTGTGACTAAGAATTTTTAATATTTTTAAATTGCCATTGTAACAATATAGTAGGAGCCTTGTATTAAATTTTCAAGTATTTTTACCAAACAAATAAAGGTAATTTGACATTCGTAGAAAAAAACTAATACAATTGGAAACAGAAAATGTTCCTTTACAGTTCAAAACAAATCAAAATATTTTGACAATCTTATCTTGTATATAAAATGCGAATATAAACGACCAGTGAAAATGTCATGTACATTCATTTGTTTTAGATTTACACCAAAATCCATTTTGTGGAAAACTGATTTTGCGTAAAAATTCCCGTTTTTCCTTAACTTTTACTTTCCAATTTATTTTGATTACGTGATTAGATTCAGTGTAAAGTTAAAAATATTTTAAAATTGAGATTAAAGACCTTATTGCAAAAGGCCCATTGAAAAAAAACTATGGATTATTATTATTGTAATTTATAGACCGTTTATATATTTGTCCTAATCTATCTGATTTAAGGTAGCAGCACGGCGTCATATAGGACGTATGTACCTACGCGTCCGTAGGGATTTAGGTATTTTGAGTATTTTTGAATACAAATATACTGTTATTCGGTAATAATTTTCCGTGCAACGGCCCATAGTGATAACTGAAAATACCGTATACATGTACCTAAGACTTAAAATGTATTTAATCCTAATTATAATTACAGACATAATATTTAAAATAGATTTATACGCCAAGTGTCGATAATAGTTTATTTGTCTACTTACCGATTGTTGAGTGGAAAAAAAAATTGTTTTTATGTAAACCGTGCGGTGTTTGTGTGTCGTCTATCGATGAACAGACAAATGCGGCCTGTATACCAAGGCAGGTAGCGCTCGATACTGCGGCCTATTCTCCCACCACCCAACCAACCATCGGTGGTCCACCGATCCCCGCCTCACCCACAAAATAATGCCTATGATCTGGAGTGGCTGTGCCACCCGCCTTATGTCGGCCACCCAGCACAGGGCTACCTGTAATTTGTGACCATAAGTTGTTACTGGTCACCCACCCACCACCCTCAGCCTGTTTTGTTTCATATACAAATTCATTTGGTACCTAACCCATTGTCCCTATGCGTAGGTACCTATATTTTGAGCGAAAATAGAAACCAATAAATCCGTCATCCACACGAAAATTAACAATATTAACTATACAGAATAACTAGAATGCATAGCAATATTGATTTGGTTTTTTTCGAAATAAAAATTATGCCTAAACCGTGTTTGGATAAAATTTGAATGGATATAGAATTTTTTTAATAGTATTTAAAAAGATATTGACAGTCACCAACTTATTCGCGCGCTCTGTAGAGACCGATAAATCGTCATCAATAAAAAAAATTACTTTGCTCAATATAAACCATTAGTGTATTGTACGTGCGGGTCTTTCTTCTTTTCGGGACGACTAAACCTCGACCATTTTCTAAAGCATAATAAGTATAATAGATAATAAGTATAATAAGTTTAATACAAATTTATTTAAAGGAATGTATGTCGCTATAAATGATTTACATAAATCGACATTAAAACAGTTTTTTTGATAGCTCGTAAGAAACTGTTGTTTTTTTTCAATTTTATTTTGATGGCGCTTCGTTGCTTTAATATGTTTATCTGTTTTTAAGTGCTGAGTTATGTTAAATTTTTTTTCACTGTTCACTTTACACTCAAATAATTGACAAAATAATACATTGTCATTTACTTTAAACACTTCTTCACCAAACTCGGATACAAAATTATTAAGTTTACACGAAAGAGATGATTTAACTTTTGGTATTTCAAAACAAAGTTACTACACACAAACGGCGAAAATACAACGTAACAAACGAGTACAAGCACACGAGACGACTATATAAAATTAATGGACAATAATACAACGTTGATAATCGGCAATTAATAATCGCAGTAGAAATCGACAAAAAAAAACCTAACAAAATTAGCAGATAACAAAAATTACAACAAAATACCTAATACGAAATTATCGTAGTATCATATTATACCTATATATTAACGCTGTAAATCGTTGCATCATCGTAATCGGCCTATTTACTTAATCTATAGGTACATTTACAATTTATTTGATAATTTAATTGACAAAAATTTAAAAACACGTTTAATAAAATATAATTTCATTAAATGTTGACAGATTTTGATTCAAAAACAGGTAAAAATGCAAAAAACCTCAAAAACCCCAAAAGAGCAGTAAAAACTAAAAAATCGTAAAATATGCAAAAAAAAAAGCAAAATAAAATTTTTAATTTGAGTTCTCTGTATCACGAAACACATTTTTAGCTTACTCTGCTATTTTTTAAGCATCTCATAAGGAATATGGCAATACTATAAAATCCCGACCCTGATAATAACTATACTATAAAATATATGTGATGCTATCCGTTATCGAAACCCATAAGATAATTCTTAAAAATGTCAACAAAAATATGGGGCCAAACAACAATAGTTGCTTGAGACACGTATTACCGAGTCAATGCGATGCTCCGTTGGGATACGAAAACCTGACGACGATAAACGTCATACAAACTAAGTCACGACACGGTACGCAACGGGCGTGACGTGAACAATCAATACCTATAAATATATAGCTTATATCAAATGCTATTAAGCAACTATAGTCTATAGTAATTACAACTGATATATCGGGCTCATCGACCGTCGGGACTAATGAGTAATGACTAATGGGCTCTGAAATAGATATTGATAATACCTGCACTACGGATCTATTGACGATATTTAGGTAATGACCCTAGTTTTTCGAATAATAATAATTTATACAATATAACTGATGTATCGGAGAAAACTGCGACCGGCGCGGCTTACGAATAATAATTGTATTGTAAATATAATATCGGAGGTATTTCAATAACTGAAGAGCGAACCGCATGAACCTAAGTTAAATGTAGCCAAGGCTGGGTAAGTTAATGATTTTTTTTTAACTCAGTTAAGTTAATTTAATATGCACCAATAACAAAAAGTTAAAAGTTAATTTAATTATACAGGTTAACTTAGTTAAGTTAAAAGTTATTACACACTTTTCGTTAACTTTTTATTAAGTTAAAAAAAAGTTAATTTGTTTATAGAACGCTAGCGTAGATTCGAATATGATATACATTTTTAACTTCAAACAATTCACGGTGTATATTTTTTGACATAAAAACGAAATAGACTGAAATAGTGAAATACTATAAAAATAAAAACTAAATTAACTAACTTGACTTACTTCTTAAGATGAAAAATAAATTCATTAATTTCACGTTGATTAAAAAATAAATATAGTAAGTTAACAGGTAAGTTAATGAAAAGCTAAATTTAACTAGTCAAGTTAAAAAGTTAACATACAATAAACTTTTTATCTTAACTTTAACTTTTTAACTCGTTAATGCTCAGCCTTGGATTTAGCTGCTACTAATATCAACACACCGGAGTTGACGGGTCAACTAATAAACCAAACCAATCGTCAACTGCTAGTCTTGAACACCTATAATAAGCACTGTACTCTAGACCCATGGAAACACAACTAACGTCTCAAACATAACTTTACCGAACCCACAATAAACATGAACACCTAATATTAAACCTCGCTGTGCTACTAAAATGTTGCGCTACATGCTTTTAACCGGCATTTGGCCGGTCAACTAATAATGTAGGTACTTATTACAAATGGTTTAGACGAGTTTGGAGTGGATGAGGTGACCGCAAGTATAAAAGAACACTCAGACCAATTTAGGATTGAGTGAATAATGAATTAACATTAATAATTAATAACGGCTGGCGAAGACACGTCTCTTCACTAGCTCAAAACAGAACAATAATAATAAATAAATATCGGTCGCTACGGTCGGGACAGGGTACA